AGCGAACCGCTGACCCCATGCCCGACTTCTATCATTCCAATATTAGTGGTGATGACACAATGGTCAGGTTCATCGGTACTGAGCTTACCATCAAACAAGTTTACGTTACCAATAAAATCTGCCACAAATCGTGTCTGTGGAAATTCATAAACCTCTCGCGGCGTACCCACTTGCAATACGCGGCCTTTGCTCATAATGGCAATACGACTGGCCATCGTCATAGCTTCTTCTTGGTCGTGGGTAACCATAACCACTGTCACTCCCACACTTTCAATAATATTTACCAATTCAAACTGGGTTTGCTCACGCAATTTTTTATCTAGTGCACCCAAAGGCTCATCCAATAACAAGAGCTGAGGCTTTTTCGCAAGACTGCGCGCCAATGCCACGCGTTGTTGCTGACCGCCTGAGAGTTGGTAGGGTTTGCGCTTGGCATAAGGCGTCAATTGCACCAAATCCAGCATCTGGCCTACTCTTTTTTGGATTTCTTCTTTGGGCAGCCCTTCGCGTTTTAAACCAAAGGCGATATTTTCCCAAACATCCATATGCGGGAAAAGTGCGTATGACTGAAACATCATATTCACAGGCCTATCGTAGGGGGGTACATTGGCCACATCTTTGCCTGCAAGCAAAATTTTGCCAGATGTGGGCTTTTCAAAGCCTGCTAGCATACGCAAAAGCGTAGATTTACCACAACCAGAGCTACCGAGTAATGCAAAAATCTCCCCTTTGCCTATGTTTAAGGAGACATTGTCTACCGCTACTGCTTCGTCAAATCGCTTCACCAACTTTTCGGTTACCAAAAAGTTTTCTTTACCTGCTTCCATTCAAGTCCCCTCATATAGTTAAAGTTGTTTTTGCAAAAAAGGCTGTTTACACTTGGTATAAACAGCCTGTAATTTTTATCTGGTTTAAGCAGAAATATTATTTGCCTTTTTTGAATGATGTGTACACATTTGCCATGGCTTCGCGTGCAGCATTGGTATAGTAGCCTGGGGCAACCAATTTAGACATGTTGGTTGGATCCAAAATAATAGTTGGGTTGTCTTTAATCTCAGGTTTAATGTCTGCCATTGCAGCCTGATTACCAGTGGGGTAATTCATTTCATTGGTTTGCATAGCGGATACCTTGGCATTGAGATAATAGTTTATAAATGCGGCTGCATTTTTGGGGTGTTTTGCGTCTTTGGTAATTGCCATAGTGTCTATAAACATAATGCCACCCGTGTTAGGCAATAAAGCTTCAATGACATCAGAAGAGCCATTGTCTTTCACCCTTTGCGCAGCAATATTGATATCACCAGACCAGCCTAGCACCACACACGCCTTACCTCCAGCAATATCATCTATCATGGTACTAGAGAAAATACGTATATCAGGACGCACCTTGGCTAACATCTCTCCAGCAGCCTTGTAATCAGCAGGGTCATTAGAATAAGCATTTTTACCCAAATAATGCAAGGCTGGTGGAATTACCTCGGTGGGAGAATCCAAATAAGCTATGCCACAAGATTTAAGCTTTTTGGTGTACTGCGGATTGAAAACCAAATCCCAAGCATTCTCTGGCATAGGCATACCTGCCAGCGCCTTCTCCACTTTGGTTTTGTTGATGCCCACCGTAGTAAACCCCCACGCCCAAGGAATCAAATGTTTGTTATCCGCATCTACATTCGTGAGTTTTCCCATGAAAGTAGTATCTAAATTGCCATAGTTGGGTATGAGCGCTTTATCCAAGGGTTGCAGCAAACCCTCGTCAATTTGCGGTTTGGCAAATACTGAGCCTGGAACCACGATGTCAAACCCGGTATTTCCAGCAACCAGTTTTGCATTTAAAGCTTCATTATTTTCAAATGTTTGGTAATTAACTTTTATACCGGTTTCTTTTTCAAAATCAGGTATCAAAGATTCGGCCACATAGTCTGGCCAGTTATAAATATTGAGCACTTTCTCGCTATCCAAAGCCGGTGCTGCTGGCGCGGGCGCGGCAGCGGAGGCTGCTGGTGCGGGCGCTGGGGTGGCTTCCTTTTTCTCGCCACAGCCAGCTAATGCAATAGCAGATAAGGTAAATGCAAAAAAATATTTTTTCATGAGCCGCAATCTCCGTAAAAAAGTAAAAAAAGAATAAACCAACCTCAAGCAAGCATGATACCAAAATTAGCGCAGTCTGCGCGTGGTGCGTTCCTCTAAACCAACCCCGACTGATTCAAATCACGCCAAGTCAAATCCAAGGCCTGGCGAATCAAGCCCATCATCTCATCAATCTGTGCCAGGCTCATCACAAGGGGCGGCGCAATAATCATTCTGTCTCCCACCGCACGCATGACCAGCCCATTGCCAAAACAGTGCCCACGGCATATCATGCCCACTGCCAAGTCAGACGCAAATGCTATGGGCTTACTCCCTGGTTGTTTGGCCTTGGATTTGACCAAGAGCAAACCTGCCACCATGCCGTGTGTCTTGGCCTCGCCCACTAGTGGATGATCCATCAGCGTAGCAATTTGCTGCTTTAGGTAGGGGGCCAAGGTATTGCGAACATTCTCAATCACACCTTCGCGCTCCATCAATTCCAAATTGGCCAAGGCAACAGCGCAAGCAGCTGGATGGCCGCTATAAGTGTAACCATGATTGAACTCACCCCCTTGGTTTATCAGCACATCTGCCACGCGCTTACCTACCATGACCCCACCCAGAGGGATATAGCCACTGGTAACGCCTTTGGCAAAAGTAATCAAATCGGGTTTATAGCCAAATTGCTCATAAGCAAACCATGCACCCAAACGCCCAAATGCGCATATAACCTCATCACTAATCAGCAAAATTCCGTATTTGTCCACTATCCTTTGGATTTCAGGCCAATAGCTTGCGGGCGGAATAATCACGCCGCCAGCGCCCTGCACAGGCTCGCCTATAAAGGCCGCCACTTTATCCGCCCCTACTTGCAAAATCTTCTCTTCCAACTGGCGCGCCATACGCAAGCCAAAATCGGCTTCGCTCTCCCCTTCTTTGGCGTTTTCAAACCAATAAGGTTGATCTATATGCTCAATGCCAGGCAAAACACCGCCTTGTGCATGCATACCGCTCATACCTCCCAGCGAAGAGCCTCCTACGGTGCTGCCGTGATAGCCATTTTTTCGGCTGATAATCACTTGGCGCTGCGGCTGCCCCAAAGTAGCCCAATAATGGCGCACCATGCGGATATTGGTATCGTTGCTCTCTGAGCCACTGCTGGAGAAAAACACATGGGTAAATTCACAATCGTCCACTTTGGGCGCTAGACTGGTGAGTTTGGTTGCCAATTGCACTGCGGGCACATTGGTGGTATTAAAAAAACTGTTGTAATAGGGTAGCTCCAGCATCTGCATATACGCAGCCTGCGCCAGCTCCTTGCGCCCATAGCCCGAATTGACGCACCACAAGCCACTCATGGCATCCAGTATCTTTTTGCCCTCAGAGTCGTAGATATATATACCCTGGCCATGCGTAATTACGCGCGCACCTCTGGCAGCCAGCGCTTTGCTATCGGTAAAAGGGTGCATGTAGTGCGCGCTGTCCAAGGCTTGGACATTTTTGGTTTGCACTTGTTTACGCTCAATGCTTTGTGTTTG